AGTCTTGTACGCTACCATTCATTAAGACGACCTATCGAAATGGCATACCAAGTGCCCTTTTAATTCCCCTATCATAAACCTAAGGAATTTGCCATCGACAAAAGCAGTACTATCTACGACGTCAGTATCAGTCGTCTTAAAGCCGCTTATTTGAAAGGAGATGATAGTTTCTTTATACATTTACAGTAATGTTATATGAGCCAAATTATTTTAACATATATTTGTTGGTAAATTTGCATCTGGCTTAACAGTATGTTGTTTGTCGAGTGAAAATGAAACCTGCTTGTGAATTTTTCGAATTTCCAATGCTTACTGAGGAATTGGACATAATGCTGGAAAATACCAAATAAGTCCTTGAAAGTGTTGAAACCTGAAAGTAGACTCCTCGCAAAGACCTTGCTCTAGATATAGAAACTTCACATCTCTTTCCCATATTAAAAGACATAGATTTATGTTGTAAATAGCCGTCAAAAATGGACTTTAAATAAGTTTGTTTCTATGTCCCAGAAACGTTTTCTACTCATAATTTATTATCTAAATGATAGTTCATAAACATTTCAGTGATTCCACAGAAAACGCAATTTCATACAGCAAACCCTGGATACTGCCACAATAAACTATATTATATAATGGCATAAATTATTCAGTTAATCAGATTGGACTCCGATAATTACTAATAGATAAGCACACTTACACCTGAGTAACTACGATGTCGCAGGTTGTGGGACTTGCAAAAAAGTGAATCCGAAAGATAGGTCCAATTTAAAGTGTTCGTTTCCAATTTTGTGACTTATTTTTTCTACTTCGCAGGTTGTTTCAACTAAAAAACACAAGAGAAATGACCAACTAAGCACTCTATCCAATAAAGACAGCCATTTGGTCCCAGTAAGAGACTCTTTAACAATGGACATCCATGAATTCGTACTCAAAATCGAACTCCTGACCATCAGCCTTGCATTGAGAAATGGCCGCGCTGTCGTGAACTTTTTGAATTTATAACTCCACGCTGTGACGGAATGGCTGTCCAGGAATTTCAGGTTTTTAGTGGTGGTTTGACCTAGATCGGCTCATGATTTCGAAAAAAAAAGAATAATCTTCATAATCTTATATTGGCTCCGTTTGCACTGCTATCAGGTAGCGACATGTGTATTTTCTAAAAATAAAATTGGATTCTAACTACACTCAGCTGTAACGTGAAACAGCAAAAAAGCCTTCAGAGGCATTTCGTTGTTTCACATAGCAGTAAGTGGTTGGTAAACAACGGTATGTAAATGACTTGTTCTTCTGGACGAATTTTGCGAGTAGAACTATGCCTTCGTGTTCTCCTAAAATAGCAGCGAAAACACAAGTACCTTAACTGTTCTGTCACCCTGTATGAACGTCCAAAGTCGCTTCTCAACCCTCATCAAAGCAAGGACAGTTTGAATCAGCGTATGCACCTTGAAAGAAAGTCTGTCGTAGGCTGTGAGCCACAATTCTATCAGAGAATAAAAAGTAAAAGTCATTGGGGAGTAGAAAGAATACAAGAAGCTCTAGTTAAGAGCTGAAGAACAGGTTCCTCTAAATTTTGTTGTAAAGCTGACGTCCGATCAATGAAAAATTGGTTGTATGCTATGGAACCCAAGAAAGAGCAAATTCGGATGTCGTAGGTCTATTAACGATGAATTAGACGTTGCTAAGAGTTACTTGATAAAAGAATCAATTCAGAGGTTACAAGTAATCCCCTTCAAGAAAGTTTTTGATTGAGAATTCCAAAGACAACCTCAATAGAAAACATAAACATATTTACTTGACATGAGCTCGTATAAGAGAGGAATTTCACGCCCCGGAGTGAAATTTGTTCCCATAGAGATCTGTTCTTCACTGATGGTTTACATCGTAATATACTGACAAGCAACTCAAAGACTTGGAGCTGCTTCAAAATGCTTTACAATAACGGGTCCCCATATTGTGAGACTTTGGAATTGAAAGATACGGAAGTCGCTCTTCAGGTACATCTGGTTTTCACAATTCAGTGAAGCATGCAAACGATTAACCGCAGTTAGATATCTGGGTTGCTCTCGGCGTTCACTGTCCGGTCACAGTTAAAATAAGTGTGGTTGAATTCACAACCAGGTGATAGTAAACTCACATCACATGACTCTTGGATAGCATAAGCTGACAGAACTGTCAAGCATGGAATTGGTGGTTATGATTGGTAGAAGTATTAGAATTAAATATACGAACGAGTTGTTTAGTATGTTACTAACGAGTCAGTCCGTAGATTGGACAGAAAACAGTTAGCATCCTTGAAAGTATCGTGTTGGAAACTCAACTTGAAGGTGTCATAACCTACAAAGTAAATATCTGCTAGAACATGCACTACAGATGGCTCTCGAAGGAAAGCGGTGGATTTATAAGCTGAGAGATTCTGACGCATCCACCGACGTCTGTAGTATCCGAAGACATAACTGTCAAACTGTTTGTACAAAGAACATATCGTTGATAGTGATAAAATCAGACCTAAGACAACATGTAAATGAAACATAAAGTTATGATTCTAGCTTTTAATAGCCCTTGGTGGATCATATATTAGTTACTCACAAGGAATATCATATAACTTTAGAAAAAATTCCGCCTTCGAGTAATGATGATTATGACGTGCATTCAGTTTCCCGACTACTGAAGGAGGTAATTTGTCCGCTTTGTGGCGGAAAAATCTAACGAAAATACCAAAATATATACGACGTTATTGAATAAAGTGTACGGCTACTTAGTCACAAACGAAATTATAAATACACAGAAAAGCCGTCTGAACCTTACTTTTACTTCTGGGTAAACTGTTTTTCATTTGGTCCCAAGATCTACTACTGTGATTGGTGGTCAATAATTCGAGACACTGCATAGAATACAAAGTATTGTGTATGATTTAATCATTCTATAGTGGTTCTAACATAATCTGCAAATATTTTCATATATATATTCATGATGTCACTGTAAACACTAATTAAATGTAAACAAGGAGTGTATAGGCGGAAGTTTATCCGCGAGCAAACACCAGTATATCATAGACGCCTCAAACTGAAAACATACCGTGAAAATAAAGACGAAAACTAAACAAAAGTTTTATGGTCAATAATGACTGCACAAGGCAAATAAAATCACGAAAAATACAAGTGATTACGAAATTTATCAATGAAACAAGTCTGTGTTAGCCATTTTGCAACTGACTCGTATACACCATTAACTAGTGTGTATGTATATAAATAATTGGTCTATCGTAAATCGGAACATTACGGCTAGGGCATATCTCTCCCAGATGCACTCACATCCAATGAATTACTGTCAACTATAGTCCGAATTTCATATAATTATCAATGTTTTCACGTAGTGAATGGATTTTTGGTAACAGCTCATAAGTATTAGTAGTATTACTAAATCATATCATGGTTAAACAATATCGAGGTCGTGAAAATCTCCCCGCAACTAAATAAACCTCATTGAACGTAACAAATTAACTGGAGCACTCCTCCCTGAGGTTGTACCCTTGTTTCTTCAGTTAACCTACTAATGCAAATGAAATTGGAAACCAACACATTTGAACAGCGTACCCGCCTAAACGTTAACAATTTCACTCAAATTGGTTCCAAACCAACGTCACTTTGGTTCTGTTGTCAGAGGATTGTGGTAGTGTTGACTCTAACTATACGACACTTGGAGCTGATCATAATATAGGTAGGTAAATTCACACTCAACGTTTAACACGGTGAGGTCAGTAATGGTGAGTTCCATGGCTTGGCTGTGCAGGCGTGGTCACTCTATGTAGTCTCTTGTTTTCAGTATTGAATATATTAATTTCTCTCTAGTCTGAACGTGTTCTTCAGAAGTGCCAGACGTCATGTTGCTGGTTGTCACAGTAGGATGAGTCAGTGTAGACTGTGAAACGAACTCTCCTTGGTCCTGGAATTGTATACAATCATCATGTCGTCTGTGTACTAAAACCACTAAAATCTGGAATTTGAACCATAGATTTTACAACACTATTCTCCCCACAAAATAATGTTATAACCAACTTGAGGTTTATAATTTGCATTGTCTTCTCATGTTTCACGCTTTGATTATTGTGTGTGGTTGTTTGGCTACACACTGACATATAATTTGAGGCACTTCATCACGTGACTTTGACTGGTATAAAAATATAATACATATTCCTTTTGCATTTTACGTTAGAATACACGAGGCCATTGTTCCAGTTATCACATAAATATGCATTGATGTATACAATCAACAGATGTGATTGATTTAAGCTTTTTTTCTCCTGCAAAACAATCAAAAGAAAAATATGCATGTCTTACACACTCATCGCCATCATATTGGACTCTGTCTGAACTTTCTGACTGTGAAAACTTAAAATCTGGGCACACTGGTTCTCTGACTTCTTTGGAAAATCTTGCTATTCCCTATGATTCATCATACCACTTACTAAGGATGCTTTTCATCATACATTTGCTATGAGAATTCCCAACACTTGATACAACAGCATAAAAAGTGTGACTAGAATTCGACTTATTTGGAACATATTTGTTACATTCATTAATAATAAGACTAGAGATAAATCCATTGTAAGGACAAGTAACACATGACGCAACACCATAAGGACTGTATTTAGGTTTCAACTCACTTAGAACTTGTTCCTCGCATTTAATTAATATTTCACCAGAAATAAGTGAATCATTAGGAGAGACGACATCGGATAAAATAACGTCAGAGATCTGATCAGGGTTTTGGCACACTCGATATATCTTCGACATATTTTGAATAATTTCATTAAAAATACATGAATCATGAGAACACACATCTGGTAAAATTATAGTGGTCGGTACTCGATATAATCTTTAAACTTTGTGTACATTTCGCCCTGATAACCGTCACTAGATAATGTCCCCGACGGTGTATAAATAGGAAGACGAGCACGAAGTGTTGTTCGCGTTTATGATTACACCACGCACAAATCACCAAAATTACAGGTACGTTAAGCAAGTATGAAACAGAAGTGCTGAAAAGCAAGTGGGAAAGCGAGTGAGTAAGAGAGTGAACAGGATTACAATATACCTATATATACATAATAAAATGAATGAATCATCGAATCAATTAAACGACTAATAGTAAGGCTAGCAGAATGAATATATGCGTGGGCAGTATGCGATGCTGAAGCATACAAACTCATACGAGTGCAACAATAATAAAGATACAATGGTATAGATAAGTTGTTTTTGTTTTTTTACGAATGACTCTGTCTGTTAAATAAGTTAAGAAAAGGTTTAACCAAATTAAATGTGAACAACCTCAATTGTACGTGAGCTGCTATGAAATAATATCACGAACATGATCACAGTATGATTCATTTGGAACATTAAACATAATAGGATCGAGGTTATAAAGTTTTGCATAAGTTGCAACAAAATGTATGGTGGTATTCTAAACTGCCCGTATGTGTCCAATTTTAGCACATTCAAAGCACTTAGCATCTCGTAACCTACGTAAATTACATGATGAAAATCTTCCACAGAACAATCATTTTTAGAACATGTGCTCTTCTTCGTGATCTGCTCTACAACCCCTCAATGAATTTGGACGTATGTCCAACTGTTTCATTACAGACTCGATCGCAACGTATTTAAATCATTATGTGATCTAAGAATTCCCGAAACAGTGTAATATGGGCCAAGAAGAACTAAATGAGCACAAACGAACGCATTCTGATTGAAATTCAAGATCAGCCAGTTGTCAAGTACAAAAAGCCCATTAGTTCACGATACTCTTTTCTGAGATGCATTGTGCACACGTACAAATATATATCTATCATTTTGTGTGCATTAGTGGTGTTTGATACGTTAACGTGCAAAGTTGTTACATATCTGTTGTTGAGATAACGCAAAGAAAAATATAAATTTTAAGGACAGTTGTGGTCAATAACCTAAAAAACAACATTATCGCATTGTCCATCTAGCTACTGAGTCCAGATAGCCACTAGATTGTGCAATGAGGTGAAGTCTAATTCATTTGTATTGGTTGGTTGAATCTTCTCATCAATGTTCGGGACTGCAAGTGATCAGTCTCTTTTGGCATTTCTGCAGGCTGTGTGGATCGCCTCGATATTGCCTTAAGTCACAAGCATTATAAGCAAAGATCGAAGTTGGTTAACAGACCGATCAATTTCAGTCCTAAACATCAATGGGCGGATTCAAACAACCAATAAAAATGAAAAGTAATAACAGTTTACAACTATCAATATTTAGCATTTCGACGACATTATAAGGAAAAACTACGCTGCTCAGACAATTAATCCGAATCTCCGTTGTAACAGTAACAGACAATAAAGAACATGTGTCAACTGTTGTATTCAGTGATAGTTTACTGACCTTGTTCCTATAAAACTTCACATTGGACTTCAAAAGTTGAGATAGTGGGAAACATTCGTAGTTTAGGTGGATAATTTGGTGAGGTTTCGTCCGCTGAGTTGGAGTAACCCTCACAGTCGCTTACATAAGACTACACTTTTATCGCACCACCGGTCGAATCCACGGCGACGGGAGTTTCGTCTTAGTATGGGGATCGTGGATATGCACTGATGGGGAGTCCTATACAGGAATGAAAAGGCAATCCACTACTTCCAGATTTTCAATAGCGGTCTAATTTAGACCGGTTGATGATTTCATTAATGAACAATAGTCTGACTGAATAGTTACCTGTATAATGACAATCATGACCAGAACCCATGACGAACAATAAGCACGGAAAACGGTTGCATTTCCAATGAAAGAAACAAACATTACGCTAGTGAGTTCACTATAATATCGTGTAAACAAGTTTAAAATAATCAAATAATTCACTAACTCGAAATTTATAACGTCATTTATGGTGAATCGATCAATGAGGGTCAATCCTGTATTTGATCAATACTATGAGTAATCATGGTGAGTAATAAAGATACGAAAATTTAGTGATAAATAAACAACTTTTATACCAGTAAAATATTACTATTGGAAATATAGTGAAAGACAAACAAACACATCCAAAATAACCTATAATGTTTACTACTACAACTGATTATGTATAGACAATATGTGGTCTTATTATGCAAACAAATATATTGAAGTTATTAAATAGAAACAAATTCTGAGTCAAGAGCTACAAGTTGTCAAACTTCGATAATATTACTCAGTATGACTGAGAGGGTTATTTATTCTCACTTTCAAATTGATTAACTTCATAAATTACTCCATGTTATTCAGGTGGAAATTCTTTTCTAAGAAAAACTTTACTCAACATTTGAATAAGCGAAATCAACTGATTGGAAAATATTCCTCATCATGAAGAGACTTAACTGGTTTAAATTCAAAACCACACGCGATTGGGGATAAGCACTGGTTGAAAAATCCAACCTTTGATTCAAAACAATTATCCAAAGTTTTATAGTCCTAAATTAGGACAAAAGAGCTTTACGTTGCTACTCAATCATTCAGTAGTTTTCTATGATTCATGTTACTTTCCCACGAACCTATCTCTAAAGTTACTGATGTCTTGTAATTACTATTAACATTTATTTGAGGGCTCCGTTAGATTAACCAAGTAGTTTTAAGTATGACATTTCTCTCATTCTATTAAACTATCGGAAGTAAATATTTTTCCTCAATTTAAGCATCCATGATTGTAGACGAATTAATCAACTTACTTAATCCATTTGTTTCAAATAATATTGTTTCTGGTACACCCAAATCTTTGCACCATTTAATAAACGCACTAACATTATCACGAGCTATCCAACGATCAGCAACTCGAGATTTTATTGAGATATTTTCTTTAGGAAAATCCATATCACAATTTGACATATTTGAATTACGTTTATGAGTAGAAGGTTGTGATGAAAAGGAACAGAGATCTGACGGACCAAGTGGTAGTTTAGCACAATCAGTTAATGTGGAGGGAAATGATGGTAATGAAACTGGAGTAAGATTTTTCAAGTCACGATTGGACACTGCACCTCTCAGAAATTCATATGAACGACCATTATTATTATTGTTATTATTATGTGTTGATTTTGATTTTAATGCAATTTGATAACCTGATTCCAAAATCGAATAATGTAGTTTATAAGCTAGTCTAGAAAGCCACAGACCTGATGCTAAACGACAAAGTAGATAATGTGCTTCTATGGGACATGCGTTAGCCGTTGAAAATAAATAATGTTGTAACCATTCCGTAAGATCTTCACGAACAACACACATAGATTCGTCAAGTATCTGAGAATTCAAAAAAAAAACCATAAGAGTTCTTTTAAAAGTATTGTATACACATAAAACTAAAAGAAAACAATGAATCTACACAGACATGTACAAACAAGTTAATGAACTGATATTATCATGGTTAATTCTTATTGTCCTACATTACATGTCAGTGATCAATAAAACGGGATTTTAAGGTGAATGTTATCCAAAAAACAAAGACTGTTGGATCGACTACTGTGTAAAATTAACTTTCAACACTAATTCTTTTTAATTTCCTGAACTCTGAAACTGGGAAGTAACTTAAATTTTTAAAAAAAGAATTATTTCACAAAGCATTGGCAATTGGATAACTGATAAGTGTGTGCTACTAAACAATTCAATATCAGTAACAAAAGTGGTCGTAATATATTTCAGACTGAAAAGGTTACAGTTAACACATAAACCGAATTAAGAACAAATTTACAAGTGACGATGCATTAGGGATGTAGTTGATACCCTTCACGGCAGAGCTGAATCATTTACTCGTAATATTCAACCATGTCTCGGAGAGGAATACACTATAGAAACAGACAGACACGGAGCAGCAGAAAAAATTTTAGGCACATGTTACAATGTCCCATATCAGTATGCTCAAGGAAAACTAACACGAGGAAACAAAAGGACAGAATACTGATGATAATCCTAGTAAGTATGAGAAAGTAAGAGAATAAAGACATTATGCACAAATAATTTCAAGGGACACAAAACAGACAATAACAATAAAAATGGATTTCGGCTATTGGGATAGACTTTGAGTCATGTCACTCAAAATGTCCAACCACAAATAAAGATTAAATTCCAGATCATGACTAAGAAGCCTACACAATAATACAATACAATATTCAGAAACTCAGATTGGGCGGTGGTCTAATATAGTTGCCCATATTTAATTACGTTCACAATAATTTCGTCTAGATTTCTAACTATGAATGTTACTTTCTCGTGATAGACAAATGGGATTTATTCTGTGTAGTGTTTCTTACTATGAGCTGTTACTTTAAATAATGTAGGCCAAAAACTACAATTGATATCTATGATTTTCACTTGTTTATTAGTGACTAAAGGCGAAACTATGTCAACTTACATACATGCATCAGTCACACCCGAAATTGTGACTCATCTTACAATACATAACAAGTCAAGTTATACTAACTACCAATCACTAGATCAAGAAACTATAATGCCACACCCCATTGATAATTATAAAGGACGAACTTTGTCATTTATAAATTTACACATATAATTGTGATGTCATTGTATATTTGACTATATATATATATATATATATATATATATATACTTTCAAAGGTTTTATCTTCGTAACACTACATATATTATTGTATACGATCATTTCCTCTTGTGGACCATGCATTAGTGACAGTGTAAGTTTTGGCTTAATTGAACCCAGGGAAGTTACAACTAAAAGATTTTCTCAAGCATGATTCCCAATGACCTATCTCTTCGCTTTATCCTCCCTATCATAGGACTAGATTGGAAAACATACTAACAGCAGCAACACTGAAACATTGAAGATGGACACCGGATTCATAAAAGTAGTTAATTCAGAGGTGGTAGTATATAAAAGAAAGATTGCAATAAGGATATAGTACAGGAAGAAAGAATTAGTACGTAGAAAGAAGGATATGAAGCGATTTTAATCTCTTAGTTTAAGGGAAGATAGAGAGTGTATACACCGACGCCATTGTGATCGATTCTGAGTCATGTCACCAAGAGTCTCCAACCATTGGTTACGACAGTCACGCGGACCCCAACCAAGTAGTCTGCATCTACCAACATGGCTCAGACTAGAAGTTAGTGACTTTAAGCACTGATGCCACATTTTGGTTTGGCCGCCCCTCATTTTCTTTAAACCATCCCGAACGCCGGTTAGCATTGCACGTCGTGGTAATCGGTGTTCAAGCATACGTAACACGTGGCCCAACCATCTCAGTCGATGAAGATTCACAACCTCATCGACTGATTTACCATCCTTCCCTAATACCCTGCGTCTAACCTCACTATTACTTACCCGGTGATCCCAGCAGACGCCAGCAATATTTCTGAGGCATCTGTGGTCAAATACTAATAACTTACGAGTGTCTTCTACTCTTAATGGCCATGTTTCGCTGCCGTAAATTAAAACAGAACGGACTGCCGCGCAGTATACTCGTCCTTTTATTGATAGACGGATATCTCGCCTTCGCCATAGGTGACGTAAGTTGGCAAAAGCCAAACGAGCTTTTCGAATCCGTGCTGAGATTTCGTCAGATACCAACCCATTAGGGCTGATCAAACTTCCAAGATAAGTGAAGTCGTCAACGCGTTCGACTACTTCACTCCCTATCCTTAGTTCAGGTGTTGACGCAGACCAGTCCTGAAGCAACAACTTGCATTTAGAGGGAGAGAAGCGCATTCCAAACATTCTGGCATTGTTGCTCAGTGCTACCAAAAGACTCTGCATTCTATCAGCGTCTTCACCAAACAAGACTATGTCATCCGCGTATTCTAAGTCGATAAGTGGACCTCCTGGAAGGAGATCAATGCCCGAGAATTCAGCAGACGAGAATGTTATTTCCATCAATAAGTCTATGATGAAGTTAAACAAAAATGGAGAAAGTGGACAGCCTTGACGGACACCACTTGAGGTTGCAAAAGATGACAGTTTGCCATAAGCTCTGACTCGATTGGTAGTGTTCGAGTAAAGAGCCTTCACTTCTGAGGTACGCCTTTCAATGAAAGACACTGCCACAGAATCTCGCGGTCTACCGAGTCAAATGCTGCTTTCAAGTCAAGAAAGACCACCATTGTCGGACGTCGGTAAGTATGCCTATGTTCTAGAACCTGACGAGTGGTGAATATGTGGTCGATGCAACCACGACTAGTTCCGAAGCCAGCTTGATTAGTCAGTCATAAGCAACATATGTGAATTGATTCAGACCATCATACTATTTCAAGATATGAAATCATGAGAAAAAATAAAGGGATTTACGTTATTAGACCGTAAAATGTGAATTGCACTACTGAAGTACAAAGCAAATTCCACCAGCTTTTAGATCAGATTCATTGCCAATATTACCCCTGACCCAATAATTATGTATGAGCATTAAAAATGCTACCGTAGGTACAAAGGTGAACACTAATTTTTAGGTGTCAAAATAACTGAGTACACAGAATGTACTGATTCTGAGCAAAGAAGTTAAACAAAGAATTTACTGTTGCTAAAAGCTTACTAAGTAAGGTATCAAGAGACACCACATAAAATTAGATGACAGTGCAAAGATATGAGGAAGGCCGTACATATATATAATTAAAACAGTAAAAAATAGAAAAGATCAACAAAAAAAGGAAAAATTGTGTTAGACTTATTTAAGTATTTACAGGAAAGAGAATACGCTTACCCCATTAGTAAAGGAACAGTGTATTATTAAACAACGAAACAGTTCATTAATAAGATCGGTCGTGGACCAGTCAGTCATATACAACGTCGAACCTGGCGCATTGCTTACATAGGTTTAAATTGCGATATCTCGTAAGCACAACGAGATGAACTTGGGCTAACACAGAAGAAATGTCTCGTGGACACTAACAAACAGATAACGTGATTTTTTAGGTAGAATAGTGCGCCAGATAGCGCTTTATATGCTTAAAGTATCAGTTAACACTAACTTAAAGGTCGATAGAAAGAGTGGAGCATATTAGACGTCCATTAGGATAACAAGTTGCTAAAATAAAAAAAACTTCAGAAAATCAAGTAACATCAGACGTTTTTAGGACTTGATAATACCCACAAATCGATTATATTCTCAGACAACGGATACGCATTATGTGTCACAAATCTAAATAACTGAGGAACCTCGAAGTTTTATGCCACATACACACGGGCAGCATATGCCATGTTGATGATTGATTAAACGCGGCGAATACCTAACAAAGATTTGAGAAATCAATGCTCAGAAGGGAAGGCATCACAAAGTAAATACGGTCGCAAAAATCAACAAGGAATTAATGAAGTGTCAAACAACCCTAGTATTCGGAAAAACGTAAGGCATATTGGAATTAAAATACACTGTACATAATATACTAAACAGGATCACTATGTGGACCTTGAAGTCTCACCAATCAAATGATACTTCTTTAATGATACAAACCAGCAATAAAACCAGACCCAACTCGGACGGTAAAATCACACAATGAACAAAATGAGTCTACGCGCGCATACAGAACCAAATACAAAACCGTCAAGGTCACATATCGGCATGATAAAACGACATGACAAATTCTTAGCACCACAAATCATTAATGTTTGTTAAGTCACGTTATCTTGAAGCTATAAGACCCGAATTTAGTGCAGGACTGGTTTTAAAGTTGATTCAGTTCGATTTAGAGTGAATCTGGGGAATGGTCTATAACGAGTGGGCAGGCATATCACAGGTTGATATGTTGATACAGAACGCCATGTAGTCCATTTTCCTGCCCCCTTAGAAATTAAAAAACATATTTTAAACAGGTTTTTTCAATACAATTCATAGCTTGTTCCACTAAATCTCATTGTTTCCTAGTTTTTCCTGTAAAATGTTTGGCTGCGTTACATCACAAACCCGAAGTTAATCTGCTCTCCGTTGAATACATTAATAATAGACCAAACGATTTCGCAGCAGTGACTTGTGGGCAAGTGTCACGTTTCTGGAATTCTCTGAAATGTTTTAAGATGTATATTGTTTAGTTAATTCTATGTTGCATCTATATGAAACCAAAACATCCGCCAACTGAGGCAGTCTAGCCAGAAAGAAGAGAATCATATTTTGTAAACCTAAACTCTACATTGAAAACGTTCCCCATAACCGTAGCAGCTGATGTCACGCAATGTTTGACTTGTGCAAATATGAAACAGATCACTCAAATTACATACTATATACGCTTACAAAAGTCACTCTAAACGCACAAAACATCGCATTTCCCCACAAACTGTGATTACGCCTGCTGTATTCAGTGTATATTGATGTAAACTTAACAATCAGGATATACGTATTTTTCATGTGACCGCGTTTATCTACATGATCCAAATACGCTACATGTGCAGGTACTTCCCATTACAAAGTTTTCGCGTCTAACTCTTATCGACAGAAGACACCCATCTCGAATTCCTACTTTTGGCCCACAATACTCTGTTTTAAAACGGCAAAACGTCCTACTAACCTCTGATACAGAAATATGTTGAACCAAAGTCAGCTATAGCCATTAAATATCAGGCGATTGCAGCCTCAGGTGTCAGACTTTGCCTCATATGCATACAGAAAGCGAAGTTTAATGATATATATTCCAATGTATTTATAAAGATGTACCTACAAAAGTTAACAAAAACTTATGTAACTGGGTAACAGCATTATTCTAATTCATTGAAAGAAGATTTTATTTCGGAATATGATTCATCATTTCGCGCAGTTTCATTCTGATCATGCTCAAAGGAAGAGTATTAACTAGACTCTACCGGTGGTTAACAGTCAGATACAGAAATTGTTTAACTCATGATCGTGTGGTGCGTATAATTTCGAATTTAGCGTTCTGAAATCCGGAAAACTATAATTTGAAAAGATCAGTGATGACCATCTTGAACTGTGGTTGTATGTATGCAGTTTGGCCAAAGTGGATTGAAGTAACCCAAAACCCATCTATTACCTAGACGAACTGATAGACTTGGTGTAAGTTTAACTTGATAAGGTAGATTAATCACCTTCAAAGCCACCTCAAGTACATGGAAGCCTAAATTATAATAATTACGAGCCCCATAAATGAACAATGTTAAGTTGTTTGATTTGGGCGTAAATTCTAAAGTGCGCTCGTAACTAACAAATCGAACAGCTAAATCATTTCAACCATATAAATGCTTGTGTATTTTTCAGACGCTTGACTGTGGTTGCTTTTTTCCATTGTTTTTCATTACTTGGCCATATGAGGTAAAGTCTGACACCTGAGGCTGCAATCGCCTGATATTTAATGGCTATAGCTGACTTTGGTTCAACATATTTCTGTATCAGAGGTTAGTAGGACGTTTTGCCGTTTTAAAACAGATTATTGTGGGCCAAAAGTAGGAATTCGAGATGGGTGTCTTCTGTCGATAAGAGTTAGACGCGAAAACTTTGTAATGGGAAGTACCTGCACATGTAGCGTATTTGGATCATGTAGATAAACGCGGTCACATGAAAAATACGTATATCCTGATTGTTAAGTTTACATAAATATACACTGAATACAGCAGGCGTAATCACAGTTTGTGGGGAAATGCGATGTTTTGTGCGTTTAGAGTGACTTTTGTAAGCGTATATAGTATGTAATTTGAGTGATCTGTTTCATATTTGCACAAGTCAAACATTGCGTGACATCAGCTGCTACGGTTATGGGGAACGTTTTCAATGTAGAGTTTAGGTTTACAAAATATGATTCTCTTCTTTCTGGCTAGACTGCCTCAGTTGGCGGATGTTTTGGTTTCATATAGATGCAACATAGAATTAACTAAACAATATACATCTTAAAACATTTCAGAGAATTCCAGAAACGTGACACTTGCCCACAAGTCACTGCTGCGAAATCGTTTGGTCTATTATTAATGTATTCAACGGAGAGCAGATTAACTTCGGGTTTGTGATGTAACGCAGCCAAACATTTTACAGGAAAAACTAGGAAACAATGAGATTTAGTGGAACAAGCTATGAATTGTATTGAAAAAACCTGTTTAAAATATGTTTTTTAATTTCTAAGGGGGCAGGAAAATGGACTACATGGCGTTCTGTATCAACATATCAACCTGTGATATGCCTGCCCACTCGTTATAGACCATTCCCCAGATTCACTCTAAATCGAACTGAATCAACTTTAAAACCAGTCCTGCACTAAATTCGGGTCTTATAGCTTCAAGATAACGTGACTTAACAAACATTAATGATTTGTGGTGCTAAGAATTTGTCATGTCGTTTTATCATGCCGATATGTGACCTTGACGGTTTTGTATTTGGTTCTGTATGCGCGCGTAGACTCATTTTGTTCATTGTGTGATTTTACCGTCCGAGTTGGGTCTGGTTTTATTGCTGGTTTGTATCATTAAAGAAGTATCATTTGATTGGTGAGACTTCAAGGTCCACATAGTGATCCTGTTTAGTATATTATGTACAGTGTATTTTAATTCCAATATGCCTTACGTTTTTCCGAATACTAGGGTTGTTTGACACTTCATTAATTCCTTGTTGATTTTTGCGACCGTATTTACTTTGTGATGCCTTCCCTTCTGAGCATTGATTTCTCAAATCTTTGTTAGGTATTCGCCGCGTTTAATCAATCATCAACATGGCATATGCTGCCCGTGTGTATGTGGCATAAAACTTCGAGGTTCCTCAGTTATTTAGATTTGTGACACATAATGCGTATCCGTTGTCTGAGAATATAATCGATTTGTGGGTATTATCAAGTCCTAAAAACGTCTGATGTTACTTGATTTTCTGAAGTTTTTTTTATTTTAGCAACTTGTTATCCTAATGGACGTCTAATATGCTCCACTCTTTCTATCGACCTTTAAGTTAGTGTTAACTGATACTTTAAGCATATAAAGCGCTATCTGGCGCACTATTCTACCTAAAAAATCACGTTATCTGTTTGTTAGTGTCCACGAGACATTTCTTCTGTGTTAGCCCAAGTTCATCTCGTTGTGCTTACGAGATATCGCAATTTAAACCTATGTAAGCAATGCGCCAGGTTCGACGTTGTATATGACTGACTGGTCCACGACCGATCTTATTAATGAACTGTTTCGTTGTTTAATAATACACTGTTCCTTTACTAATGGGGTAAGCGTATTCTCTTTCCTGTAAATACTTAAATAAGTCTAACACAATTTTTCCTTTTTTTGTTGATCTTTTCTATTTTTTACTGTTTTAATTATATATATGTACGGCCTTCCTCATATCTTTGCACTGTCATCTAATTTTATGTGGTGTCTCTTGATACCTTACTTAGTAAGCTTTTAGCAACAGTAAATTCTTTGTTTAACTTCTTTGCTCAGAATCAGTACATTCTGTGTACTCAGTTATTTTGACACCTAAAAATTAGTGTTCACCTTTGTACCTACGGTAGCATTTTTAATGCTCATACATAATTATTGGGTCAGGGGTAATATTGGCAATGAATCTGATCTAAAAGCTGGTGGAATTTGCTTTGTACTTCAGTAGTGCAATTCACATTTTACGGTCTAATAACGTAAATCCCTTTATTTTTTTCTCATGATTTCATATCTTGAAATAGTATGATGGTCTGGATCAATTCACATATGTTGCTTATGACTGACTAATCAAGCTGGCTTCGGAACTGGTCGTGGTTGCATCGACCACATATTCACCACTCGTCAGGTTCTAGAACATAGGCATACTTACCGACGTCCGACAATGGTGGTCTTTCTTGACTTGAAAGCAGCATTTGACTCGGTAGACCGCGAGATTCTGTGGCAGTGTCTTTCATTGAAAGGCGTACCTCAGAAGTGAAGGCTCTTTACTCGAACACTACCAATCGAGTCAGAGCTTATGGCAAACTGTCATCTTTTGCAACCTCAAGTGGTGTCCGTCAAGGCTGTCCACTTTCTCCATTTTTGTTTAACTTCATCATAGACTTATTGATGGAAATAACATTCTCGTCTGCTGAATTCTCGGGCATTGATCTCCTTCCAGGAGGTCCACTTATCGACTTAGAATACGCGGATGACATAGTCTTGTTTGGTGAAGACGCTGATAGAATGCAGAGTCTTTTGGTAGCACTGAGCAACAATGCCAGAATGTTTGGAATGCGCTTCTCTCCCTCTAAATGCAAGTTGTTGCTTCAGGACTGGTCTGCGTCAACACCTGAACTAAGGATAGGGAGTGAAGTAGTCGAACGCGTTGACGACTTCACTTATCTTGGAAGTTTGATCAGCCCTAATGGGTTGGTATCTGACGAAATCTCAGCACGGATTCGAAAAGCTCGTTTGGCTTTTGCCAACTTACGTCACCTATGGCGAAGGCGAGATATCCGTCTATCAATAAAAGGACGAGTATACTGCGCGGCAGTCCGTTCTGTTCTAATTTACGGCAGCGAAACATGGCCATTAAGAGTAGAAGACACTCGTAAGTTATTAGTATTTGACCACAGATGCCTCAGAAATATTGCTGGCGTCTGCTGGGATCACCGGGTAAGTAATAGTGAGGTTAGACGCAGGGTATTAGGGAAGGATGGTAAATCAGTCGATGAGGTTGTGAATCTTCATCGACTGAGATGGTTGGGCCACGTGTTACGTATGCTTGAACACCGATTACCACGACGTGCAATGCTAACCGGCGTTCGGGATGGTTTAAAGAAAATGAGGGGCGGCCAAACCAAAATGTGGCATCAGTGCTTAAAGTCACTAACTTCTAGTCTGAGCCATGTTGGTAGATGCAGACTACTTGGTTGGGGTCCGCGTGACTGTCGTAACCAATGGTTGGAGACTCTTGGTGACATGACTCAGAATCGATCACAATGGCGTCGGTGTATACACTCTCTATCTTCCCTTAAACTAAGAGATTAAAATCGCTTCATATCCTTCTTTCTACGTACTAATTCTTTCTTCCTGTACTGTATCCTTATTGCAATCTTTCTTTTATATACTACCACCTCTGAATTAACTACTTTTATGAATCCGGTGTCCATCTTGTTGTGCTAATGAGGTATGGCAACTTGGACCGATGCATAAATGTGCCTGGTCCTACGTTGTAGCTGACTGATTGACTGAATTGTATGATTTTGATTTTCTTAAGAAGCTTATGCTACCCAAAGCTTGTAGATGCACCATACAAACACTCAACCTTATCTCTATACGGTTACCTTCTAACTTTGGTTCATAAAACAAAAGTATATAGTTGCGATTCAAATGATATTATTTCATCTCCCAAAGGATTTTTGACCAAAAGGTATTCGTGAGTAATCTTTTACACATTGGCGTTTGCCATGTACTCAAAGTACCAGATTTCCTGTACCATTTACAAAGGCATCAAATAATGCTTCCAAAACGAAATGAGGTCATCCGAATTATTTTTGAGCCAATAATTGAAGAAATGTCGTGCGTATTTATCATCCTTTTATTTCACACGTAATCCGTTGTTGTAGAACGTTGCTACCATCTAGCCGTCAACTGATAGCATGAATTTGTTATTTTGTTCCACGCAGTTCATTATATCCTGGTTTTCTCGTTACTCTATCATTATCGTTAAGTATATCCTAATAATACATTTATGTATTCTGTTACAAATTTTAGCTGTATTTATTTATCCATGATTAAGACAGCTCATAGCGTTTCCAATCTACGCTCTAATTTGGAATTAAGTCCATGTGTGATTAAACGTACACAAAGTTCTCATTTCGTGCAGGTTAGTTACTAGATATCTACTTTTCGTTGTTATTGTTTCATATTGCAGTGGAAACATTTGTTTCCGTTTTGATATCACTGTATTTGTTCATTCAAAGTTGAAATTATTTTGGTTACTGTCTCAAACCGTTTAATATTTCTGGGACAATTTACATTTTGGAGTCAGCTCATAGAAATACGCTTTTTCTAGTTCCTGTTTAACTCCTCACTATAGTTTTTGGATCGTTTGCTAAGATTAATATAGTAGAATTTTTAGTCCAAGTTTCTTTTCCCCAGTTCCTTGAGTAGTCCAGAGAACTCATAGCAATCTAACAATAACACGTTAGGTAATTAAAATACCTGTGGCTTTCTCATTTAGAAACAGTCTCGAAGAAGTCTACATAACATTATAATCTGTGCTAGAAGTAAAAAGAGTTTTATCCTTCCAGAGTAAATTGAAAATATACCTTGTATTCTGATGAGTTCTGTTGATTAAATTAAGTAGAGTAACAATCAATTTCTGAACAATGACATCTGAAATATATTTAGTTAACCACGATTAGTGAGGCGGCACTGTAGTCTAATTAATAAACCAAAAACAGTAACGATTATATAGATAGGTTGAATTGTCACCTTACAAGAACAATATATGGTGCACAATGAGTCTTTTGCAACATGACGAATCGGTGAGACTATGATTTACGGACGAACCAATCATATTTGTGATAACATGTCTTGAATTTTGGTGCAAAATTAATTCGTTCATTTGACTAAACAAAGTTTTTACATTATAGCTGATGTCAGTTCGTGATAAAAACCTTAAATCTAATTCCTAACCCTAACTATCAACCGTAAATATTAATTCTAATTCCTCACACTGGTTTATAATCATCATTTAGCCGTAGTATGTAGATAAACATTCTCAAGGTCTTTTTAGCGTCTCTAAAAAGTCGTCCATAAACTATAGTCTCACCGATTATTCTATCGAAGCACAAAAGATGAGTAATCAGTGTTCATGAAGTTGAAACACTTCAGAGCTGCAAAGTCAGGGGAAACTAGCAAGCGAAAGGCAAAAAAGCGGATTACTAATAACAATGCCAGCAGTTATAAGAAAGTAAAAGAATAAAGACCTTATACACAAATGAGACCAGAAAATGTAGGATAGAGAACAGTACTTTCAGTGTATGCTGGCTATTATAGAAGGCTTTAAGTCATCCAATCGCCGATAGCCTACACTTTTTCATGACTTAGACCAACGTATAGCGTCTTCACCGACTACTTCAATGTTTCAGTGTTGCTGCTGTTAGTATGTTTTCCAATCTAGTCCTATGATAGGGAGGATAAAGCGAAGAGATAGGTCATTGGGAATCATGCTTGAGAAAATCTTTTAGTTGTAACTTCCCTGGGTTCAATTAAGCCAAAACTTACACTGTCACTAATGCATGGTCCACAAGAGGAAATGATCGTATACAATAATATATGTAGTGTTACGAAGATAAAACCTTTGAAAGTATATATATATATATATATATATAGTCAAATATACAATGACATCACAATTATATATGTAAATTTATAAATGATAAAGTTCGTCCTTTATAATTATCAATGGGGTGTGGCATTATAGTTTCTTGATCTAGTGATTGGTAGTTAGTATAATTTGACTTGTTATGTATTGTAAGATGAGTCACAATTTCGGGTGTGACTGATGCATGTATGTAGGTTGACATAGTTTCGCCTTTAGTCACTAATAAACAAGTGAAAATCATAGATATCAATTGTAGTTTTTGGCCTACATTATTTAAAGTAACAGCTCATAGTAAGAAACACTACACAGAATAAATCCCATTTGTCTATCACGAGAAAGTAACATTCATAGTTAGAAATCTAGACGAAATTATTGTGAACGTAATTAAATATGGGCAACTATATTAGACCACCGCCCAATCTGAGTTTCTGAATATTGTATTGTATTATTGTGTAGGCTTCTTAGTCATGATCTGGAATTTAATCTTTATTTGTGGTTGGACATTTTGAGTGACATGACTCAAAGTCTATCCCAATAGCCGAAATCCATTTTTATTGTTATTGTCTGTTTTGTGTCCCTTGAAATTATTTGTGCATAATGTCTTTATTCTCTTACTTTCTCATACTTACTAGGATTATCATCAGTATTCTGTCCTTTTGTTTCCTCGTGTTAGTTTTCCTTGAGCATACTGATATGGGACATTGTAACATGTGCCTAAAAATTTTTCTGCTGCTCCGTGTCTGTCTGTTTCTATAGTGTATTCCTCTCCGAGACATGGTTGAATACTACGAGTAAATGATTCAGCTCTGCCGTGAAGGGTATCAACTACATCCCTAATGCATCGTCACTTGTAAATTTGTTCTTAATTCGGTTTATGTGTTAACTGTAACCTTTTCAGTCTGAAATATATTACGACCACTTTTGTTACTGATATTGAATTGTTTAGTAGCACACACTTATCAGTTATCCAATTGCCAATGCTTTGTGAAATAATTCTTTTTTTAAAAATTTAAGTTACTTCCCAGTTTCAGAGTTCAGGAAATTAAAAAGAATTAGTGTTGAAAGTTAATTTTACACAGTAGTCGATCCAACAGTCTTTGTTTTTTGGATAACATTCACCTTAAAATCCCGTTTTATTGATCACTGACATGTAATGTAGGACAATAAGAATTAACCATGATAATATCAGTTCATTAACTTGTTTGTACATGTCTGTGTAGATTCATTGTTTTCTTTTAGTTTTATGTGTATACAATACTTTTAAAAGAACTCTTATGGTTTTTTTTGAATTCTCAGATACTTGACGAATCTATGTGTGTTGTTCGTGAAGATCTTACGGAATGGTTACAACATTATTTATTTTCAACGGCTAACGCATGTCCCATAGAAGCACATTATCTACTTTGTCGTTTAGCATCAGGTCTGTGGCTTTCTAGACTAGCTTATAAACTACATTATTCGATTTTGGAATCAAGTTATCAAATTGCATTAAAATCAAAATCAACACATAATAATAACAATAATAATAATGGTCGTTCATATGAATTTCTGAGAGGTGCAGTGTCCAATCGTGACTTGAAAAATCTTACTCCAGTTTCATTACCATCATTTCCCTCCACATTAACTGATTGTGCTAAACTACCACTTGGTCCGTCAGATCTCTGTTCCTTTTCATCACAACCTTCTACTCATAAACGTAATTCAAATATGTCAAATTGTGATATGGATTTTCCTAAAGAAAATATCTCAATAAAATCTCGAGTTGCTGATCGTTGGATAGCTCGTGATAATGTTAGTGCGTTTATTAAATGGTGCAAAGATTTGGGTGTACCAGAAACAATATTATTTGAAACAAATGGATTAAGTAAGTTGATTAATTCGTCTACAATCATGGATGCTTAAATTGAGGAAAAATATTTACTTCCGATAGTTTAATAGAATGAGAGAAATGTCATACTTAAAACTACTTGGTTAATCTAACGGAGCCCTCAAATAAATGTTAATAGTAATTACAAGACATCAGTAACTTTAGAGATAGGTTCGTGGGAAAGTAACATGAATCATAGAAAACTACTGAATGATTGAGTAGCAACGTAAAGCTCTTTTGTCCTAATTTAGGACTATAAAACTTTGGATAATTGTTTTGAATCAAAGGTTGGATTTTTCAACCAGTGCTTATCCCCAATCGCGTGTGGTTTTGAATTTAAACCAGTTAAGTCTCTTCATGATGAGGAATATTTTCCAATCAGTTGATTTCGCTTATTCAAATGTTGAGTAAAGTTTTTCTTAGAAAAGAATTTCCACCTGAATAACATGGAGTAATTTATGAAGTTAATCAATTTGAAAGTGAGAATAAATAACCCTCTCAGTCATACTGAGTAATATTATCGAAGTTTGACAACTTGTAGCTCTTGACTCAGAATTTGTTTCTATTTAATAACTTCAATATATTTGTTTGCATAATAAGACCACATATTGTCTATACATAATCAGTTGTAGTAGTAAACATTATAGGTTATTTTGGATGTGTTTGTTTGTCTTTCACTATATTTCCAATAGTAATATTTTACTGGTATAAAAGTTGTTTATTTATCACTAAATTTTCGTATCTTTATTACTCACCATGATTACTCATAGTATTGATCAAATACAGGATTGACCCTCATTGATCGATTCACCATAAATGACGTTATAAATTTCGAGTTAGTGAATTATTTGATTATTTTAAACTTGTTTACACGATATTATAGTGAACTCACTAGCGTAATGTTTGTTTCTTTCATTGGAAATGCAACCGTTTTCCGTGCTTATTGTTCGTCATGGGTTCTGGTCATGATTGTCATTATACAGGTAACTATTCAGTCAGACTATTGTTCATTAATGAAATCATCAACCGGTCTAAATTAGACCTCTATTGAAAATCTGGAAGTAGTGGATTGCCTTTTCATTCCTGTATAGGACTCCCCATCAGTGCATATCCACGATCCCCATACTAAGACGAAACTCCCGTCGCCGTGGATTCGACCGGTGGTGCGATAAAAGTGTAGTCTTATGTAAGCGACTGTGAGGGTTACTCCAACTCAGCGGACGAAACTTCACCAAATTATCCACCTAAACTACGAATGTTTCCCACTATCTCAACTTTTGAAGTCCAATGTGAAGTTTTATAGGAACAAGGTCAGTAAACTATCACTGAATACAACAGTTGACACATGTTCTTTATTGTCTGTTACTGTTACAACGGAGATTCGGATTAATTGTCTGAGCAGCGTAGTTTTTCCTTATAATGTCGTCGAAATGCTAAATATTGATAGTTGTAAACTGTTATTACTTTTCATTTTTATTGGTTGTTTGAATCCGCCCATTGATGTTTAGGACTGAAATTGATCGGTCTGTTAACCAACTTCGATCTTTGCTTATAATGCTTGTGACTTAAGGCAATATCGAGGCGATCCACACAGCCTGCAGAAATGCCAAAAGAGACTGATCACTTGCAGTCCCGAACATTGATGAGAAGATTCAACCAACCAATACAAATGTTTTAGACTTCACCTCATTGCACAATCTAGTGGCTATCTGGACTCAGTAGCTAGATGGACAATGCGATAACTTTTGAAGTGGAGGGTACTTTCGAGTCCCGGGGTGAACACCAACTTCATCAATAACATCAGCTTCACCCAACTGACGAATACCAAACAGGACGAAACGCACATTCTGGGTTCCACTGCTAGCTACCATCCATCTCTACCTTTTGTTACTTCTCATTCAGAATAATTTTGTAAATTATTTTTGATGGCTTATTAGTTCCTGATAAAATGATAAATATAGTCTTAATGAGAAATAAATATTTTTACTATTCAACAACGTACATCATGTGACTATATTCATAAGTTTGTGAAGTCTATTCTTTAAAGTGTAAAGTAGGTGTATAAAAGCAGTCTGTACTTTACATTACTGTTAGTTTTCTGTTTTTTTTTCAAAAGCTTAGTTGCTTTACACATATTTATCAGTTAACGTGATCTTAGAATAATGAGAGAAAATTTGTATACTACTGCTACTACTACTACTACTACTACTATTGTCTGCTATTTTTAGCACCTAACAGACAAATAGGGAATGTCCTCTAACTAACTACTAGCTAGTCATAGTTCGTTGTTATCATCAATCAGCTAATACATGGATTTTACTGGTTTAATTAAATTCAGATAAAAAAGTTCCCTATTGAGTAAGTAATTCACTCGATATTCATTCATTGAAACATTGACCATGTTGGACCCAATCTTCGATATTTAAAGTCAGCTTGATTGATTTTTATACTCTGAATGTAATTTGCAGCTCAATTTCATTAATTCCTTCTTGAATAATAAGTTTCATATTGAGAGGGTGTTACGTATATACTTTTAAAATTTTTTTATATCGATGATTATGTTTTGTAGGACACCGGAAAATTTGCCTACTGTATAACGATGAAGATTCCATTTTCTTGATATCAAGAACTTATTTAAGTTAGATGATAGCTCGGAAGCATTGAATGGCCATTTCATGAACGTTCACTTCTGAAGAGTCTTATACTAGGACAAAATGGCCATCTAGTACTTCGAAATTTTCAAATGTTGTTCAGCCTAAATCTCTTAGTGATATCAGTATACTATTATGTAAAGTATGTCTTTACTCTTACTGATGTTACTCTTATTTTCTGTTTCTTAACTATACAACTTGATAATCTTATCTTACTACATATGTGACAACTTATAAGACAATATACGTTTGTATTAGATTCCACGTTAATTACAATTAATTGATGTATAATAGTAAATAGTTAATAATTCTATAATATATTTATAATTTAATAAAATTGAACTAGAATATAGTTTTCATGATGAACCAAAAGTTCTTTATGATTAAGGAGAATACCATAGATCTAAAATTGATTTTAGAAGAAAATAAACACGTGATAAATATAACTTAAGTAAATTACTTTTATATAAATTTTATTTGTAGAAAAATTACTTTTTATGAATACATTAATGAACTCTATAATGATATAATTAATTGTATAAGATAAAGACAAAGACATCAGTTACATATTATCATTAATATTATGATTATGATAATATTAACCCATTAATTACACTCGTTGTTTGAGAAGAGTTCACAATATGATTTAACTATTAAACTTATAAAGAAAGAAGAACGAAATAAATAAATAAACAAAAGCTTAAACAAATAGTTGATTATTTCAAGTGTAGAATATACTAGGAAACATCCATTTAAGATATACTTTGAGGTTTATATATAATGTTATATCTTTTCGACCAAATCATTTACTTAAGTTGTACATTCGTATATATAAGTCTTCCTTTTCCCATTGATTCGTACCTAACCTCATTTCATAATAAGAGTCTTGAATCAATTTATGATGCAATCTTTTTTATCCTCCTATAGACCTATATTTTTCATATAACTATATATACTAATGTACAGCTTAAGTAAATGATTTCGTTAAGAAGAAAATTTCCTCTGAATTCTCTTTTTCTTATTCAGTATCATATCACCTACTCTTTTTTTCTAATTCTATAATCTTGATTGAGTCATCACTTAGAATACAATTTTGTAATTTCATCTTACTAAATATGATTATTTTTATACTTCATCGTTGAATAGTTATGTATTCAATGATTAACATAAAATATAACTAGTTTGCTACCGATTCTTATTAATAAGATGATACTGTTTAATAACTATCGAAGCATATTAATTGTATTATCATGTAATAATAATAGTAATACGCCTCCTCAAAATTAAATCTTTAATCCTGATATATTTAGTAGTGATACATGGAGTAATTACATAGAGTATTCGTTATCTATACTTTATATTCTATTATAATTGCATGTAATTTACCTTTATAACACATACATTCACAATAATTAACGACGGAGTGTTTTCTTTTTGTATGAGAAATGCTGACTAAACTACATTGCTTTTTTTTCCTTTTGGAACATTCACAAATGTTACGCATAAATGTTCAGTTTTATTTTCATATTAACACTATCATATGATTTTAATAAACCAGTTGATAAGGTGGTATTAAGTAAATAATTATTACGTAAAAGTTTTATTATTGTATACATTAGTAAACTAAGAAATTTTCACAGAAAATTATCATAATTCTCAATAACAAACATAATTAGTTATATTGATAATTAAGTTCAAAAGACTAATAATTTGTCATTTCTGTATGAAACAGATTTAAATTAATGTACATAATATTGTCACATATAACAAAATGAGTAGATTGATTAATCATGTCAAAATTACATGTTATTTTACAATTAAAGGAAATAACAGAAGGAAATTGTAAATTTTTCATTAACTTAATAGTGTATCCATATCATAAGTCAATGTTTGACACAATTCAAATGATATCTGTGTTTATAATTTCGACAAGAAAAGAAATTTAATTTGATTTTTTATCCTTTTCAAAATGGTTTTTCCTTCTTACATCTTCATTAATGTATGTTTATTTGCTTACATCAATTGATTTCTGGCAAACATGCTTTAAAACAAAAAAAAACTAATTAGGATGAAGATAGCGATGTTTATTGTTTCTATGAGAAGTAACTTGAATATTATGATGAGGTTTATAAGTGGTATGTTTCATTTTGGTTAGTTTACAAGTGATAAGAAAAAACTGTTTTCATGCAAATAGTTCCCTTTATTATTTCAATAGCTTTTGTTCAATCAGTTACAAAAAGGCACTGGTCAAAACATTGTTTCACAGAACGGAAAGAATATGTACTGCCGATACAATAGAAGAGGAAGTTATGAATGTTAAAAAGTGTTTGAGGAATAACGGCTACCCATTGAAAGTTATTGAGAAATATGGGAAACGTGAAGATAAAAAACCCAAAGAAATTACAGTAAATAAAAAGCCTATTTTTATTCATATTCAATTCAAAGGTGATGATGTCACAGGATCAATCAATATGAGACTAAAAACTGCATTGACAAAAACATATCCTGCAGCTAAATTGATTGTCCTGTCCAAAACAACATGTTCTTTGACACAATCAAAGGTCGACATGTATCCCTTTCATGTTACCACCAACTGTGTATACAAATTTACATGTATCTGCCAAAGCAGTTACATTGGTAGAACAGAAAGGAGAGCCTACGTCCGATTCAAAGAACATATTTCGGAGGGTTTGAGATCAAATGGACTAAAAACATTCAGCAGCACTATCTCAAGACATCTCCTTGACACAGGACACGAATAAGAAAGAAAGATTAGTTCAGCGAAGAGTTCTCTTTTCGGCGAATTCATTTTCAAAGCTGTACAATCGCAAATATATATACTTATTTTTACAGGGTGATAATAATACTGATAATAAACTTATGTTATACATGGTGACAGTAAGGTTAAATAAACAAAGGTATTAGAAAAAATTTTTAAAACAAGGAAAGTTTGATAGTTAATGGCTTAGATATTCATCGGGTAAGGGTGGCTCAGCATGATAAAATAACATAAAATGTTGAAACAGAGATGAAATATAATCGGAATGATCGTGGAAATAAAAACAAACCGGTTGGGGGTACAAGATTTGAAGGGAAGATGGAAGGTGAAGCAGGTGGCTGTAAAAGAACAAGAGTAATGAGAAAGAGAAAAATTTTTTTTTAATACATTAAGACCATGGTAAAAGAAGAGGTTGTACCAGGACACGAAGTCGATATAATGAAGTCCTTCAAGGTGATCAACAAACAATCAAATTCAAACCTTTTGAAATTTGCCGAAGCGATAGCAATCAAACGTTTAAAACCAGATCTTTGTATACAAAAAGAAACAGTAATAAACCTTTCTTTGACCTGGTAACATTACCCCCCCCCGTTTTTATTTATTTATTACGTCATTCACTATTCCAACTCTTTCTGAATTTTAAAATCACATCATTCATAACTGACCAATTTCAATTCATATCTCTCTTTATTAACATTAATCTATTTTCAGTTATTTCATTGCATAATAATCTAATGTGTTTTTATTCCATGATTTCTAATCACTACTTCAATGTCCTGGAATCTTCCCTCCCAAACTTTATATATTCGAAACAAAATTTTATGACCTCATTAACTCTAACGAAATCTTTGCTACATCATGTTACATATATTTATCCTTCATCACTCTCTGATGTATAAGTATGTCAATATCTATAATAACGTCGAATTTCAAATATTTTAGGTTGTAAGCAGCAGCTGATGAGAACGAAATAAAATGAATTCATATTATTCTGCACCAACCTTTGTTCTTGCTCTCTTTAAAAAGTATTTTCCTGACGTCATACAAAGAATAGGATATAGAAATTAGATGAAAATTTTAAATGTGTTGTAGATTCTATCAGAAACATCATTTATTCAAGACTCATTCCTTTCGCATTTGTTTAAAGTAAATTCTGAACTAAATCGTATCGGTTGTGACGTATAGAAAATTAGGCATTTTAATGTCGTACAAATGTTTAGAAACTAAGGGAAAACTTCGTTTCATGTTATCACATCACGAAGTTATTTCATCGGCTTTCGGGCGAGTCTTCGTGTAAATATTTTAAAAAAGAAGAATATACGATTTCGTTTATAAAAGTATTTATGATCAGCATACAATATGTGCTTCTCTATAATTACTCTTTGAATTGAAAATAATCTACTTTAACATTGAAAAAATCGGTCGTACAGGTTATAAATAAAGCGTTATACACACTCATTATTATTGTAGTAACATACTTTTGATTTCAGTTGTTGATTTACTTGATGGTTTACAAGTGATATAGAAATTCCAAGGTCACTCTTGCTACGATATTCCTAAAATTGTGCACTTATCAAATCAAGCTTCTCTTTATAATGATCGATTCATTAAATTCAAAGAATACTACTACCACTAATTTTATTCCATGGATTCGCTTAACTCTTAATGTTTTTTTCATCTAATAATATTTTTATCTTTAGTGAATAAGACCGAAGAGAAAAATGTTTTGCTTACTCTAATGGAGGTTGCACGTATTGCAAGTCGTTACGGTCTCACTGATCTACCGTACTTAGTTCGTATGGAACGTGAAATCGATGAGTTGGAAGCAAAACATTCACAAGATCAAAGTGAAATAAATCGTTTATACCATGGTAGTAATAATAATAATAATACAAATCATTTTACTACTCATGCAGTGATTAATTTGGAAAGAATTGATAATGAAAAAATGGATAATTGTAAATCTACTTCTAACTTAGAAATAACTGTAAATAAACGAAAAGCAAAATCTCAGAAATCTTCTAACTTCAATACAATTTCTGATAATCACACGAATGAAAATTCTGTAAGTTAAAATTTTTAAAACACTTTATGTAGTGAATTTGTGACCTGTTGTGATCTATTGTTCTAAACACTTAATCACTTGCCAAACAATTTGTGAGGATGCTATTGAATTCCTAAAATTAGATTTGTTGTTAGTGTTTTCTTAGGCTTTGATAAATAGAAGAATAAAGCATGGAGTAGTTTTATTTTGTAAAATTGTAATTGAAACTGGTAATTATCTTTGGGGTTAATATATTAAGTATCCACTGACTACTTCGATGCGTGATGAAGGCTGGTGTAGGAGTGGGTTACAAGCTAGAGGTGGCTAAACTGAAACATGATATCAGTCCATGAGGTCACTGACAATTGAACGGAGCCATGTCAATAGGTGTAGGCTACCTGGTTGGGATCCATGTGACTATCGTATCCAGTGGTTAGAAACCTTGGGTGACCTGGCTCAAAATAGTTTACAATGGCACAAGTGCATTCGTTATTTTTTCTTCTCCCGAACCCTAGGCCTCTTAATTCCTCATGATTTTTTTATTTCGCTATTTTATACTTTCTCAAATAGTTTCTTTGATACCTAATCCTTTCTGTTACAACTAATATTGTTACTACCTTTTCTACTCTGGGATTTTCCTGATGATTTCATCTTTCTGTGTTGATTGGGGCATGGCAACTTAAATCGATATACAAGTGTCCCAGGTTCCACGTTGCGTTTGACTTTCTGACTGATTACATTGAGTTTGATGAATTTTATCAGGGAACTCTCGGACTTCGTGGTGCTAAGTAAATATTGAATATTCTGATTACGTTCTTGATCGTTAGACTTTAAAAGTATAGATAAATGATTGAATTCCGATAAACTGATTGAGCGAAATGATATACAGCTAATGAATAACTACTCACAAAACTGAGTTTATCAACGTTGTTCACTCACTGAATGTGGGAATTACCATGTCGGAGTAAATATTAAACGTAAGTGAATTTTCGAAACTGTCCTATCTGAAGTTATTGTTTATAATTTTGTATCACTATTAAATAATTTAACCATTATGTTTTTGTATTTTTCTACTTCTCACCCTTTCTCTGACACAAATGATTGTTATATGTTTTACCTTTTCTGAATTGTGATTAATTTATTACGAACATATCGCTCAGTTGACTTCCACTTGTGACATGGTTATGTCAGTATTCTAATTTCTGAATTCTGTTGATGCATGCCCATGATTTTTCTCGGTATCAGTGTTTAATTGATTCATGCATTCGAACTGTATAATTAAAAGCTGTCTGCCCACTGAGTTATTCTCTATTCGGGCTATCGGGAGGGGGAGTGTGGGAAGTTGCATTCTAGACCAATACTCAATTAATGTTACTACCGGCTGTTGTCCCAAATTTAACGTGTCCATGGTCAGCTGTCTCATGACTCGGTCTCACCGGCTCCGAATAGCTAACCAAGTAATGCTGTTTATCCTCACCCACAACAAAAAAAACTGCAGGTTTACCCGTCCTATAGTCAATTTTGTTTTGATATTTATTAATAAAGGGATAATTAAAATAACCCATAGTGTCATTGAATAAGAAAAAGAGAATGCAGCGAAGAAAATTTTCTTTTCGACGAAATCATTTACTTAAGCTGTACACTTGTTATTTATTCTCGAATCCATTTTTGTGATATAATCTTTTCTATCCTTCTACAGACATACATTTTCCATATAACTATATGTACGAATGTACAGCTTAAGTAAATGATTTCGTCGAAAAGAAAATTTTCTTCGCTGAATTCTCTTTTTCTTATCCAATAAAGGGATACTTGACCCACTCTTATAATTTTTATCAGTTTCAAAATTCTGACACATAGTGTTACCTTGTTAAGCTTATCTTACTTCAATAAGATTCGGATTTATCATTCAGATTTATTATTTATTTGAACACATAAATATTGGTACAAGGGGATACCAAATACATATGCGCCACACAATAACAATGAGACCAGTAACAGTTGTCATTGATTTGTGTAAGGGCTATAATACTGCCCGGGTGCCCTAACCGAAGCAGGTGGTTTTCCTAGGGGGCCACACGCGGAGCCTTTGACCTGAAGGTCTAATCCACAAGGCAGATTTCGTGCCATTAGGGTTTTCCAGAATCTTAAAAAAAATACAAAAACCGCGTTAGCAATCTTTCACACTTTTTCTCTTTGTTTGCTGCTATTATTTAAACATAAATGCATTCAAAGCATTCCGTACATTCAGCTTATTCCAGGACTTAGGTTATAGCTTAAAATAAGTATCATTTAGGCAGATGGATTTTTTCTCTTTCTCCAAGCTGTAAGCTTAGTGTCGCCCCGCATTTTCAATTCACTAATCATCATATGAATCACACTTCATTTGATTCGTGTGAAGGCTGATATACTACTCGGGTACCCGAGCCATGGGAGGTGGTTTTCTTAGGGGGCACTCCCCGAGCCCTTGGCCTAGAGGTCTAATCTACAGGGCAGTGGAGCGTCTTTAGGAGATGCAGTCCCATGTTAGCCGGTGACCAACAATAAGTTTGTACGCTTTTTGTTCCCTCAGGATCCTGTGCACCATTGGTTTGGAGTCAGGGTTTTCCAAATCCCCTAGTTAAACCTTCCGTGTATGCCAACTCGGTTAAACCGTCGAACATTCGCTTTTCGTCCTCTCAATTTCGCAAATAACACCCCCGTCACGAGAAGGCAGTGAGCAGGACTTCCCTGGCAGTGGCTGTATACGTGTGGCTCTCCCCACTCTCGGGCTTACCAGGGCATTTGATTAAGGTTGATTTAATCAGTCAATTATAAGCAGCGTAGAAACTGGCACATATGTAGATCGACTAATCACAAAGAATGAATAATATATTGTCAATTTCATTTTTTTATATTCTAATATACTATGATAACCTAAGCTGACTCATTTGTGATTGACTTTTCCTGTGATACTACAGATCAACGTATAGTTATTCATTTTTATTTCTTACTTCATTAAATCATTTGGTTGTCAGTCAGTCAGTTACAACCTAGGACGAGGCATGTATATGCATCAGTCCAAGTTGACACACCTCATTAGCACAACAAGATGAACACCGAATTCACAGTAGTTAATTCAATGGTGATAATATATAAAAGAAAGATTGCATATGAAAATATAATACAGGAAGAAAGAACTAGTTCGTAGAAAGAAAGGTATAAAGTAATTTTAATCTCATGGTTTAAGCGAAGATAGAGAGTGTATACACCGACGCCATTGTGATCGATTCTGAGCCATGTTACCTATAGTCTCCAATCATTGGTTACGATGGTCGCGCGGCCCCCTACCAAGTAGTCTGCATCTACCAACATGTCTCAGACCAGAAGTTAGTGACTTCAAGCACTGATGCCACATTTTGGTTTGGCCGCCCCTCACTTTCTTCCCACCATCCCCTGGTTGTACCCCAGTGAATGCAAATATTTTTCGAAATCAAAGCTAGTCATGGAACATTTTTTCCGTTCAAGTTGCTACGTTTCATTAACACAGCGAAATGAAAGTTTTACGGCAAATTCCAGCGTACTAGAGGTAGTAACAGTGCATTCGTTTTGTAAATTTCAACTGAGATTGAGCTGTGATGAGTGTCCCTCTAGTTAATAGATAGATAAAATTTTCTGTACATTTTCACTTAATATAAAAAGGATATTTTAAAAACTTAATTATTTTGTTATTTACCAACTTGGTTAGAACTAATTCACTTGTAACTTTGTGTATTCAGCTTGTGCTTTGTCTTTCTCTACTCGTGTTTGGCTGTTGTTAATTTCTGTCTTTTTATTCTGCCTTTCTTGAATCTTGTCCAGGATTTCTATAGAGATCTATTCCTTATGATGATGCTTCTCGTGGCCCAGCACCTCCTGACACTTTGAAGTCAATGCTTCTTTGACCCCTTTCCAGTTGTCCTGCATAGTAGTTTCTTCTTCCTTCAGTAGATCCCGTAAGGCTTGGAACCTGTTGTTGAGAGTTATTTTGAATTCGTTGAGTTTGTTAGTATCTCGTAGGAAGCCTGTATTGAACCTTTGTGCAGCTGTTTCCCCAGCTGTCCAATGTTTCTTTAGCTTCGGTTTCATCTTGGCAACCACCGGTTGGTGGTGATCTGAAGCTATGTCAGCTCTTCTCCTTGTTCTTTCGTCTCCCATTGACCTTTTGAATTTTTTAGTGATCGATCTGATTCTCTGTAGTGTTATCCACTGAGACCCATGTAGCTTTGTATATGCGTTTATGGGGGACTATTGTGCCACCAATAATCATTCTGTTAAATGAACATAGAATTGCAAATATCTCCCCATTCTCGTTACAATATCCTAGTCAGTCCATGTCATCCCATGATATCCTCATATTCGGTGTTGTCCATTCCGACTTTGGCGTTTAGATCTCCCATCAGGATGGTGATGTCCTTTCTTTGGCACTCTGCGATGATTGATTGAAGCTTCTCATAGAACTGGTCTTTATTGTCGTCGTTGCTATCATTGGTGGGTGCATAACTTTAGATAACATTCATCGTGATTCCCTCCTTTGTTTTGAAGGATGCTTTGCTGATCCTGGGTTCATGAGATTCCCATTCTATAAGTTCATTTCGTGCTTCTTTGGACAGCATCGGAGCAACTCTTTGAGTGTGTAGAGCATTTTACCCTTGGTGATCGGAGTACAGCAGCATCTCTCCCGTATCTAGCCTTTGCTGTCCAGCCTGGGTCCAATGGGTTTTGCTGGTTCCAAGTACTGCCAAGTTGTATCTCTGAATTTCCGTAGCTATTTGACTGGTCCTTCCGGTCTCCCACATTGTCCGGACGTTTCATGTACCTATAAAAATTGTTGCTCTGGTAGTTAGAAGTGGCATCAGCCTCGTGATTTCCGAAGAATCTCGGCTTTCATCCTGAAACATAATTCTCTCTTGAACATGGAGAACAGAGTTTAAACCATTTAATTTGTTTAATCTGGTTGGCGTTTTTTAGAAAGTTTTTTTCTCTACAGGATGGGGTTGTCGACCTCATACCCAACCCTTCCCCTTAACCCAGGCTTGGGACCGGCATTAACTCTAGAAGAGCTACAGGCGGAGTTAATATTATTACTGTTGTGAAATTTAGGTCGTTTCCAGCTGAAGAGAAGAAGCCTTGAAATATAATGAATTCATATTATTTTGCAAAATCTTGTTTTTCTCACTTTATTTGAAATTTATCGAGAGATCCAAATGTATGACATCACATATTTGAGGATTTTGTTTTGTTTTGTTTTCTTTTAAGAATTGATTTGCATACAATATAAGCACTAAATTGGAATCTTTTAAAGTCAGGTTTAATAATCTTTTTATTGCGGTGATTTACTTTCGATTCTTCTATCATTTTAAACAAAAATTTAACTTATAATTAACGTCTTTCTTAATTAGTTTAATTAGATGTACTCAATGAAATTATTCAATATCATGTGTGTGTTCGTTAGTAGAAAATTTATCATTTCACTGATATAAATACATTAAAATGAAGAAATAATTTGTCATGATAAAAAGTAGTATAATTTGATCTGAAAATTGTATTTTAAGTATTTCATAACTGACTGTAAAATGAAGTAGTTACCAACCAACAACTGTTCATTCTGTTAACAATTAATGCAATACATGTTTACAATGTAATATAATTTGTACTATAGACAACATGTTCATCAGGCAGTAATGCTAGTACAACTATTTATTAGAAAACTGAATGTATACTGCATCTTGTTATTGAATCTCTTCTATGTAGTATTGTATCTCTTTTTTTTTTAAAAAAAAATTCTATTTCACACATCACATGAGAGTAAAATCATAGTACAAGAATCGTCAAATTACTTATACTAACAATCATTTATTTTACAATGATTTTCAACTGATTGCAAATTATCATTCAGAAAGTCATCTTGATGAATTGTAAAGTCAATCCTTTTTCTACCATAAGTTATACTTGATATTGTAATTTGTAATATCTATGTTAATTATTAACTTGAATTAATTTTTGCTGAATTCTTAAGTAAACTAATATATCATATGATATTATAATTATAATTATAATATTAAAATCCTCTCAAGTCATAATATATGGGCGTTTTCTTATATTTTCTTCTTGTCATCCATAAATTATTTCACCATTTTACACATAAAAATATAAATTAGGCGTTTTTATACAGTACGACAAATTAATGGGGCCTTTTTTTAAACCAAAAAAACCATGTTTCTTACATTTCGGCTATTGTGTCTTTAGGCGTGAATTTTCCTCATTATTATTTATCATCGATACACATTACACCCTGAATAATCGTGTAAAGTATGTTCTTATAAAGAAATAAGACTTATTTATTGTGTACTTTTGTATTTTTGATAATTCGTATGTTGGAAACACGAAATTCAGCAAAAGGACCTCTTCTGTACAAATTTATTATTATACTGTACAATCATATAAGCATTAATTCTATGAGGATATATAAATAATGAATAAATATGATGTAAATGGTGTAAATAATAACATCAAAGTGTTGTATGTGTTCCAATAAAAAATGTCTTGTAAAATTGACAAGTTAGGAATGAATGTGGATGGTGTGACGTGGTGGCGTGAGTGATGAGATCAATGTATGTATAAGTGAAAGCCAGAGCGGTTTATGCCAATCTGGGCCATTTTTGGCGCCTTCATGATGTTAGTCTGGCTGTAAAAGGTCGGATCTACAACGCGTTGGTGAGAGCGGTTTTGCTCTATGCTTGAGAAACCTGGCCTCTCCGAGTTGAGGATGTTAGACGACTCTCTGTGTTCGATCGTCGCTGTCTCCGAAGGGTTGCTGACATCCAGTGGCAACACCATGTCAGTAATGCAACGGTTCGGCATCGTGTGTTCGGTCACAGAGACGATAATGCAATTGGTGTCACCATCTTGAAACATCGACTTCGGTGGCTTGGACATGTTCTCCGAATGTCGTCCCAGAGAATTCCACGTCGTGCATTATTTGCCGACTCTGGGACTGGTTGGAAGAAGCGGAGAGGTGGTCAGTATATGACATGGTGTCGTGGTTTGAAGGAAAGTTGCGAAGGGCTGGCTTGTGTTGGGCCTTCACGACTCCCTGGCTGGGGTCCGAAAGATGGTGCAACACAGTGGCTAGAGACGTTGTCAGATATGGCTCAGAATACGAGCCAGTGGCGATCATGCTGTCACTTTCTTTTACTTTCTTCATAAAAAGTGGTTGTGTATTCTTTAACTGAAAGATCTCTTCTGATTGTACGTTTCTGTTTCCCCCATTATTATTATTATTATTATTATTATTATTATTATTATTATTATTATTATTATTATTATTATTATTATTATTATTATTATTATTACACTACCTTACACTAATCTGTTCGTTATTGTCCTTTTTTTCTTACACGCTCCTTACCTCCTTTTTTCTCCTGAAATTCTCATTGTTTTGTGTGGCGCATATATATTTGGTGCCCTCTTGTACCAACATTTATGTGTTCAAATAAATAAATAAATTTTATGTATAAGTATGTCAATAACTACACAATGATTTTTTTCGTTCGTTATTATTCTTGTCTTGTTAAGAAGAATAAGAAATGAGTCGAAATAATGTAGCGGCAAGAATAATGATAAATATTAGGCATGGAGAAAATGGCGGTAAAAGATAAAAAGCAAAGGTATGAAGGAGGAGTATTAAAACTTACGATGTAGAGTAAATCCAACTACTCCATTGTGACCGATATTAAATCATATCCCACTGATTGTGATTATCACTCGGACCTAAACCAGGTAGCTTGCATCTATCAGCACAACTTAGGTCAACAGTCAATGGCTTCATGAATTGATGCCATGAGTTGGTTTGATCATTTTTAGCTCTCTTCCAATCACAATGCTTACACTGGCAAACATCCCCCGTCTTGGTAATTAGTAGTTTAGGATTCCAATATCACCTGTATAAGTTATGCCTTACTTTGACTGTTTACTGTGTTTAAATTTTTACTGGCTAATTTCTTAATCATTTTTTTTCTTGTTTCTTGATATCTATTCAGAATAATTTTAATACAGTTCTAATTGATTCACATTCTGAAAGTCAATTTATGAACAATAGGAATGGTGATAATTCTGTACAAACATCTACTGATAATCAAGATATTTCTTGTGATTGTAATGTATCATTGTTATCAAATCATTGTTCACAAAATGATGCTTCAAATAATAATATTATTAATACCATGTATACCAATTCACATTCAATGAATATACTCGATGTATATAATAAGAATCAATGTGATCTTTGTCGAAATGGTTCTTCTCAAGTTGATAATCCGATTAGTAATAATCAGAACTCTACTTGTCATCATCACGCATTATTTGAAATAAACAATTCAGAAAATTCAAATTCTGCTAAACGTTCAAGAGCTTTGAATGGCTCTCTTATATCCTTAGAAGATAATAATGATGGTCTGAGCAAGGTAGTTACAGACCAATTTGTGCAACAACAAGTAAGTGTATACACGTTTTGAATCATTGATGGACCTTTTTCTATTTTTACGAAAGTTGGTGTGTATAAAACATATCCTTTGATTGTTGTAAGTCACTCGGAATTATTTTATTGCTTAATTGTATACAGTGTTGTGTAATTGTATTGTTCATTACCGGTAATCTAAGAAAGCATGTACACAAAACGTGATTTGCACATTACTGGTAAATCTTTTTCATTCTTTTTGTTAATTGTGTTGGTATCACCATGAGTATGGTTTACATTTATTCTAGGGTATTGTTTTTTCTTAAAATCTATGTTTTTTTTAATAATCCTAATGTGTTTCACCTTAAGTTGTAAATGACAATTGTGTACTTTAAGTGTTTATATCTCGATCATTTAATGTCTTTATTGAAAAACCATTTTGGGTGTACTTTTTTTCAGTGATTAATCGCCATCATGGATATCAGTCTTCTTTTTCACTTTTAACCGAAAACGACATAAAAACAAAATCATCTAATACATCGGTGTGAATTACAAATTTTTCTAGTTTACATTAAAGACTGTTCTTAATTAAACAACCATTGACAACTGAGAAGCATTAAATAGATATAGGACCTCTCAGTAGTATACATCCACTTGCATGCTTAATTTCGGTCAGTTCTCAATATTGCGCAACCATCTTCTAATAGTACTTTTGGGTAACCGGCTCACACCCGACGTAGTTGATTTCTACTAGTCACAGCCTCTCTCTAGATCTCTGGAAACCTCTCAAAATAAATTACTGATCAGCACATGAGTTCCGTACTTGAATGAAACATCTATCTAGTGTTTCTTAGTTTTCCATTTTTGTCTAACTATGGTCTGTCTGTGCTGTAAACTACAAAGTTGAATGCCTCCCATACTATTTATAAATTCTTACTACTATCTGTGAATTTGTTAAATGTAATTTCTTCTTGAAGGAAAATTGCAAATTCCCAATTTATCGTTTAATGGTAACATTTGTATGCCTCACACATTACATTCTTATGATTTTCTTTCATCTAAAACAAATGGTACTCGTTATTTGCCACTAATCTATGGCGATATTATGTATGTCATTCAAGTTTTAGGATAATCCCAACTAAGATTAATTAAATTTTTGTTGACCTTTCTATAAATCTAGTCCCGAATAACATTTGTGCATTATATTAATTTTTTTGGTAAGTGTTCACACTTATCTATCTATTACTAATACTATTCATACTATTACAAATATTTACTAAACTGATTGTTGTCAGTTATGATCAATATATGAAACTGTTGTCCATTTATACTATCATTCAATATCACAATAATGAGAAATTACATTTGAATGAAATTTTATTATCTTTAGGGTTAGAATTGTAGAATTTGTTGTGTTCTTCTTCTCTTTCATGTATACCTATTTGACATTTTCAAGCTTACACTGTATGTGAGTCTAACTAATGGCAATCAAAATGAAATATGCAATAAATAAGTCTATTATTCAGTTCCAAATTGTAAATATTAGAGTAATGAATACTTATTTCTATTCATTCTAATTGTTGTATTTTGTGTGTCTGAAAAATCCTACATGCCTAAAGTGAATCTATCGGTTTCAGTTGTTAATTTTTTAATTGTTGTTTTCACTACTTATTATTATTGTTATTATTATTACTATTTATAAATGCCAAATCAATCTGTTAATCATAGTGTATGGAAAATAAAGAAACAAATCATAAATGGAAAACATTTGAAAAGACCTAAATCATATATCATGTATATAAATTTATCGCTTATGGGTAATATTTATTACACATCACTAGTATTGAATACTCATTTTAAACCGCTAAATGAGATGGTATGTATCCATTCAAGATCTTTAAGTTGTTCATCTCGTGAATGATTGATTATTTGTTCTCGTAGAACACAAGCGATAAAGTGGATTTCTGTTTATCTTTTCATCTACTTTTAAGCTTTACAGTTAGAGGTTGGTCACACTGTGATCTATTCTAGATTATATGACCTGACAGTAATAAATCCATAGTTTTAAACAATTTTCATCAGCACTAAAATTCTCATGCATTGTGTAGTGAGTATGACATTGTATTTTAAATATTGCTTATACCATAGCTTGATGTGTTGTATGTGTTTAGGGAAATACTTTACTTCTCCCAGAGCTCTTGTACATTAGTGGATTTAACACTTAACTTTCAAGCATTGTTTTAGTCAATTAGTCAATATATTTTGTACGGTAACTACGGGCCATACATGTACCTACTCATTATGATGCAGTAATAATTTAATTAATTTTATTGGTATTACAATATTTGATTGCCAGCTCATAAGTGGAAGTTCATTAGGTTGCATCAAACAGCAATCCAAATATTTTCTTTAAATCTTTGAATTTTCAACTGAATCTGTTTGTGTACAGTTTTAAGTGCTTTATAAAAATAAGCCAGTCCCTTTTAAATAATAATTGTTTCACTCTAGAAATAGATAATTAATACACTTTTCTGAACGTCGTATAAACTATCTTCATCATAATTTCCCATCACAACAGTAGTAGTCATGGATTCGAGTATTTTCATGAGTGACTTACTTGTTACTAATATTGAACCAGCAAAATTGAGTATATCTAAATTCGTACATTATATAACATTGAGTTTCTCTTTGAGAATACATACTTCCAATGTTATGGAACACATTAGTTTAGTAAATTAGAGCATATCAAACTTGAAAACCAATAGCTCACAAATTCCAACTACTCTACTTTTATTTAGATATCTGTGAATAAATACTGATTAAAATAGTCAAATGCATAGTTACTCACTTATGATATTCTATTTTAAGGAAGAAGTTTCATTCATTCAATTATCTAAATATATAAAGAACTTAAACACAAGTATCATCACTACTAAATTTATCTTTACTTGGTAAAAATTAATCACTATAGGTCTTAAATTGTAATAATGAATACCTTTTTTCTATGGTTATATTTTTTGTTTCAAAAAACATTGTTTAATAAATTTAAAAAGAATTTTCATTCAAATAAATATAAAACTAGTTACTATGATTGTTACTCCATAATTTAAGTGTACTTCCTGTTTTAATTGTTTTCTCTTTGTGTTTCTATGTAACATGTTGAATTATCTCACTTGATAATACTAAATTAGGAAAATATTAAATTTATATTATTTTAAAATAATATGTACCATTCATTTCATTTTACAATGAATTTATTGAAATATTGGACAAGAGATATAAGTAGTAATTGTAGTTAGAAGATTAAAATTCCCTACTATTAATAATGTTTTTAAAAGAAGTACATATTAGTTTATTGATAATATATATATATATATATATATACGGGATTCGTCATGGCTTTGCAGGTGACATGCTTCGAAAGTGTTAGCAATAAATAACGCAGGTATGTGTATTCCCTTATTGTCTTCCTTTCAAGTCTGAGGCCCAAAATCTCATCATACTTTTTTAATACGTGATTTTCTTCTTACTAACATTGATACTCTTACTATTTCTACTACTCTGGAATTTGTGTTAAAATAAATTTATCTCATTGAGCTAATGTATTATGACGATTTAAACTGATTTACATGTGTCAGGTTTTACTTTTTGTGTGACTCACTGACTGATACACAGCACTTTTTATAATACTGATATTGTTTTTAAAAGAATAAATAAATTTTGTTATAATAGATTAAACAAATATAACGCTGTATATCGTGCCTTCATTCTTGATAAGATTTATACAATAAATATCAACAAATACACCGTATAAAGTGAATAAACGAACAAACGTTACTTTGACCAGTTATATGTATCTGTGTATATATGTATGTAATAGTTATATTTGGAATATTATTGTCTAATTAATTGATTTATTTGGTTCGCAATACCTTTATAATCTAATTAGAGAGGTGATGATGATCACTTTGTGTATATATTTCATGAGTTTTTCTATGATTAAGACGTTTACCTGTCGTCTGAATGTTAGTCACTTAGTTTTATGTAAATAGATTTCAGTCATCTAAATAATTGAATAGATTGTACGCATAAATTATGCATGCGCACCTTGAAGATTATATTTGAATAAGATAGATAGAGTGGCCGTCGACTATATCTGTATACTATTATAACTAATATAGAATTCGTCTTGAGAAATGCTAGATTTCGTTGAAGTGAAGTGTAATATTTGTCAGTAAATTTAAAGTAAACTGCTTTCAAAATTTCTTGGTTAGCTTGATGGATATATATTTCCTTTGTTTTAATGCTTGATCGTTTCTTTTGATTTAAGTTGCTCAAGTTTTCAGTAACATGCTCCGTTTGTGTGTAATTGATTTTAGTTTTCTCTTCAGCCTTAGTGAATCGGTTATGTTACAATTTAAAGATAGGTCTTATTCGATAAGTGATATCAACTACGGAATTATTGAAAACTAGGACTATGACATAAAATGTAAGCTATGATATACGTCATATGTATGAACAAGTTTATCGGTTAAACAGAGATGAATATTATCAGTTGATTATTAGATTTTCAAAAAAATGAAATGGTACTGTTCGATGCCTGAAATGTAGAATACAATGGGTAAAACATGAATTTGATATTTTCCTAAAGGTGATCATGAATAATCTACGACTGTTTTTCCGCAAGTTACGCGATAAGATAGTTCATTCTCAGTTGAATTTGCCATTATTTCTACAGTTTTAATATTATTTCAAGCTTTCCACAATGAGAATATAATTTATGGACAATCTTTAAGCGATCCTAACGAGACTTTGAAAAATTGCACCTAGTTACTGGGGTCCAAGGAGGGTTATAAATTATTTTGAGGAATTAGAATTAGGATTTAAATTTAGAGGTTAGGGTTAGTAATTAGAGTTAGGTTTTTCATCATGAACTGACATCACCTATAATGTCATAATGCTATTTAACCATATGGATAAATGAATTTCATCTTAAAATTCAAGTTTTACTGTTTTAAATCTATTTGGTTCGTCTAT